TCTGGGCATTCTCTGGGGGCCTGGCGCCACACGGCCCCCACACACACCCGATAAACCCGCCTGGTCACTGGTTAGCAGGACGTGCCGGCCAGCCGCACCCAGCAGTGCAGACTGCGGGGCTGCCCGGCCTAGTGTGCTCTCGCCTCTGCTCTGACCGGGGACACTGGCTAGTCCCTGGCAGAGAACGAGGGTGTCCTGGGCCTGTGACCGGGCCTTGGTGGTCCCGGCTCGCCCACAGCACAGGAGCACCCTGTGCCCCGAGGGTCTGGTACTGCACGCCTCCCCCATGCCGGCTCCACGGCCCTCCGTGACCTCCCGGGAGTCTCCGAGTCTGTCCATGGTCCACCCCCACCCCGTGGGCCCGGGGCCTCCTCAGCAGAGGGTGGGTGTGAGGTCCCCACAGGGAGCCAGCACCTGCTGGCACTGTGGCACTGTGGCACTGTGGCACTGTGAGAGCCATGTCAGGGCTGGCCAGCATGGGCGTGGGCTCCCACCCGGGATCTCGGGTGGGCTGGACCCTGTCCTGTGCCCCACGTCCTGCCTGTGCTTCCCAGCAGCTGGGGCGGCTGGGTCTGACCGAGCCTGGGAGGGTGGGAGAGTGGCCCCTACCTACCGAGGGGCGATGTCCAGGAAGTTGATACCAGCTCCGACCTGATAGAGACTGCTGAAGACCGAATGCAGCACCAGGAGGGACACGGTCAGGCTCTGGCTGAACTGGGCCCAGGGCAGGGACACCAGGAACGCAGATGAGAGCAGCACCCCTGCGCCATGGAGTCAGGACGTCTGCCTGGAGCTGCCCACCCCCACCCTGCTCCCGCTGGCCCCGCCCACCCCCACCCTGCTCCCGCTCAGCCTCACCAACCAATGTGAAGAGTTTTCTGATGGTGATGAGCCGGAGAATGTTTCTGGAAAGGAGCCAGTCTGCCAGCAGGCCGCCAAGGACCACGAAGACGCTGGCAGCAACGCACGGCAGGGCCGACAGCATCCCGCTCTGCAGACAGGGCCAGCGGAGGTGCTGTGCCCACACCCACCACGGCCACCTGCAGGGACTGCCTACCCCCCGCGGCTCCTCTTTTCCTACATGTCACTTTGGATATAAACCCCTCGCTACTGAAATGAGCCTATGTGATTTTAGGGCCTGGAAAAAAATATTCATGTGCTTAATTTGCAAAAAAGAAAAAAAATAAGGACTCATGCTCTCTGTATGTATATGTACACACACATATACACACACACATGCACATATACATGCACACATATATACACGCATACATATATGCACATATATGCACACACATACATATGCATAAAGGTCATCCAGAAATAGGTGCTTTAGGAAAACCAAATCCAGTAGAAAAATAGGCAAATGATGTGAACAGAATATTTACGGAAGCTAGAAATATAAATGGCCTTTCAACATGTCAGGGAAGGTACCCAACCTCGCTCATGATGAAAGAAGTGTAAAATTAAAAAACCACAGTGAGAAATAATTTTTCAAAAAGCAGACACTCTGTGACGCATGCTCACAAACACCAGGTCCTTACAAAGGACAGCGGACAGCTACGAGCGTGGGCAGCACCTGTCCACTGGACACCCAGCAAGCAGGATTTGCAGACGGGGTGGCACAGGTACGCAGTGACCACCGCTGGCTGCTGCCGCTCGGGAGCCACCGGGCACAGCAGACTGCTCACTGAGCACAGATGGTGAGGGTGTGACAGTCCCGTGGTGGCCCTGGGGACTGTCACCAACAGGCTGCGACATCTGGCATACTCTGCCACTTGGCGACGCCCACCTGGCAGGAGTTGAAAGGTCTCCACTGGCCGATGGAGCAGCTGTTGGTTTTGTGGAAATTGAGGACCGACACGCAGTGGGCATTCTGCGTGTGCTGCCCTCGGATAAATGTTTCTCCCTAGAGACACGACATGCGCAGCCTTGGCCCGGGGCAGCGCCCACCACGGGGCTGGGAGCACAGGCGTCCGCAGTGCCAGCCTCTGGCCTAGCCTGCCTGAACGCTGGCGAGGGCCTGGGCCAGTGAGCTGGAGGGCCGGGTGGCCGGGCCTGGGTGTCCTTCTCTCCTCATGAGCAGACACCTGCTCTAGCGTGGGTTAGATGACTGGAACGCAAAGGGAGCTCGTGCACACACGGCATATCCCGTGCGTCCTGCCCCGGCCCGCGCCCATGGCCCTGCTCGTGTGGCGTGTGCTGTCTGCGTTCTCCCAGCGGTCCCAGAGCCTGGTCCCAGTGCTCCGTGCCCCCAGCAGAGCGAGAGTGTCCCCGCAAACGCCCATGGCCCGACTACACTTTGTGCGTCAATCCCTTTAAAATGTGCCACCCGCTCCCGTGGGGGTGGAGCCACATCCAGCCGTCAGGCTCCCAGGAAACCAGGGTGCTCTTCCTGCCCCAGCACCTGGACGGGACCCCCGGCCGTGGGGAGACACAGACTGCGCAACGACCTCTGGACAGAACGCGCCCTGGACTTACGTCCTGCAGGCTGGCCTGGAGCACAGAGCTGATGTAGGTCGGCAGGTAGGCCATCATGATTTGCAAGTTCCAGGAGTCACAGAAGAAAGAGATCGTGACGGCCCAGAGGGGCAAGGACTTGGTCATGGCCTTGATGGGAAGGGACCAGCCCGGCGGGCCGTCCTGGAAGAGAGTGCGCCTCGTACCACACCGGAGCAGAGCTCGCCCTGGGCCCTCCCTCCGCAACACCCAGAGGGACAGGCAGACCCGGCCCTCGGAGCACCTGCTGGGCCAGGGAGCAGGCAATGTAATTCTTCTCGTGGGCGTCGATGAAGGGGTGACTCATGGGGTCGTCAGCAAACAGAGGAAACCAGAGGAGACAGCAGGCACAGCCGATGCCACCTGGGGGAGAGGGCCACCAGCCTAACCCCCCTGCTGCCTCTCCTGGAGAGGAGTCCTGCCACGGCGGGGCTGACCCAGGACCCCTATACCCTGTGACTGCAGGCTGCGTGGCTCTGCCCCTGACGTTGGCCTGGTCGTGTGACGTGCTTGTGCCAACAGCACAGGCAGCCCTGAGCCGGAGCAGTTTGCTCTCATCCGTCCTCTTGGGTCTTGGCCAGGGAAGAGTGGCTGCAGCTAGGCCATGGCACATGGCAGAGCCCCCCAGGCGTCCTGCAGAGCCGCCGAGTGCGCCACGTCTCAGGCCAGGGTTGGAATGCCCTCTGTGCGGCCCCAGCCCCTCAGCGCACCCTGGGGTGTCTGCCCGTGTGCTGGGAGAGGCCCTCAGTGAGCGAGGGCCAGGCAGCTCCCCTGCAGCTCCGGCTCTTCTCCTCTTCGCCTTCCCACGCCCGTCTTAGCGCCCGCCTGGAGCAGGGAACACAGCACCCCGTCCACCCGTGTCCCACCTGGTGGCGCCGGCCCAAGGAGGTGCGTCCCGGTGTCAGAATCACCCAGAGAACTCCCAGACCTGACAGGAGGTGCATGGCTGCTGAAACCCATTCTCTACTGCAGCGAGCCCAGAGCTCGGTATGCCACAGCGCCTTAACCTAATCCCTTTCCCGGGCTAGACCGAGCAGCGGTGACACAACTAGACCCACACGTGACAGTCCTGAGTTCATGTCTCAGGACCTCTGTGTACATGCCCAGCACACACGTGCACGTCTGCGACCCAGGAAGGCCGGGCCTGGAGTGTCCCAGCATGGGGACCCTCGGGCGCGCCTGTCTATCTTGTGCGTGGGCGAAATAAACCTTACAAAGGCCAGCTGCTTCAGAGCCCTGTTTAGACTCTTAGGTAACGCGTCCTCACCCTTGCTGTTACATGTGCCTTCATGGACGCCGCCCGGGGGCCAGTGCGCCAGGCATTCGGGCGCAGGGTGAGAATGTAAGAACACAAGAACCTGATCTGGGCAGCTCTAGGAAAGACAGGTACAGTGCCACGTCACGGGGTCAGAGGGCGCTGCCACCAACCCAGACAGATCCTGAGCCAGGCGAACTGCAAGGCCGCTCAGACACGGCTGGGACACCCGAGGAAGCGGCTGTCTAACGGGGTCGAAGGCACACAGACGTTCGCTGGCAGAGCCGGCAGGTCCCGCGGAGCCGAGGGGGTGCTGCCCGTGGTAAAGCACCTCTCAGGGGGCTTAGCGTGTCCTCGGAGCGTCCCGCAGCGCGCATCTGTGCCGCAGCCCGCCTGAGCCTCCGTGGTCTGCCAGGCCCGGCAGGTTCTGTGGTTGGCTCTGCACCCCGTCAGGGCTGTCCCATAGTTAGGTCCCACGCAAATTTCCAGTTGTTGCAACAACAACAACAACAAAGTGAATGTACTAAGCGAGTGAGTGGGTCTAAAAACGGAATTCCACGGAGACAAATTTTTCAACAACTTACGACAGAAATTGCTCTGGGGTCCTTTGGGTGCAACTGAGAAGCAGGAAGGATCTTAATGCCATAGGCTTACTCCGGGTACCCCACAGGCTACCAAACATAAATGGTCTTTTACAAGCCAGCAGGCCACAACTCGCTCTGACCGTGGCCAGCTTCCGCTGTATGGACGGGTACGTCTGTTAGGCCTTGGTTGAGCATAGACGAGTCGAATCACAGAGACGATACCCAGCGCACTCATGGAGCAAAATTCTGAGGCTTGGAAAGCACAAACTCACCAAAGATGTAGAAGACGTAAGGCCACCCAAAAGTCTGGCAAACGAGACCCCCGAAGAAGAAGATGAGGAAACAGCCCAGCGGGGACCCTGTGGAGACAGCAAGGACACGTCCAGGGGCTCGGGGGTCTGCCCCTGCTGGGAGGCCGCTCTGGGCTGTGCTGCACAGCGGCGGACAAGAGCTTCGCTCCAGGCCACTTCGCTCCAGGCCCTGCTCCTTCACAAGGGCTGTGCGGCCTTGGGCAGGTTACGAGCCCACTTGTGTTCCAAGTCCCTTAGGTAAAGTGGAAATCATCGGGCAGAACTGGAGTAGAAGGTTTTCCTGAGCCTAGGATGAACTCAGCCGTGTAAAGCCGAGGCTGCTCGGTGCTCGGTGGGCACTCTGCCGTGACCCACGAGGACAGTAACTGTGGCACTTCAGAGCAGTACTCCCAGGGCAGGGCCGCCGGACGCCCGGCCTCGGTCCTGCAGGTGGGCCACACAGGCCGGACTGTGCAGTGGCAAGAGCGGGCCCGTTACCTGACTGTGCAATGGCGGTGAGTTGAGTCCTCTCCAGCGGGGGAGCCCACCTGACCCAGGCGGCAAACTGGCCTGTGAACACCATGACCTGCGGGGAGGGGCCATTGCCGAGCAAACGCGGTCATTCCGAACCCACCTTCCACCTCTGCTGGGACGTCTTGGTACCTTGGCTACACCTTGGAAAAGCCGCAGGACGATGAGGAAGGCCTCTCCGGCATCGGACGCCCATGGAATGAGGAGGCTCAGGACGGAGGAGATAACCAAGCCAGCGCCCACCACGTACTTGGTTCCGAAGACCCCAGCCACGTAGCCAGCCGGGATGGGGGCCAAGAACGAGGCGTAGGAGGAGGAGCTGAGGATGACCCCCTGGACGTCGGGGCCCCAGTCGTACACGGGGTCCTAGACAGCAGAGAGAGCCCCGCCGTTTGTCGCTCGGGGACCCAGACAGCAGACAGAGCCCCGCCGGTTGTCTCTGGTTAAAGAGTTGAGTTTTGTTTTGTTTTATTTTGTTTTGAGAGATTTCGGTATAGGGTATATGCACTCACCAGAAAGACAGGGAGAGACAGAGAGACAGAAAGTGAGAAATCACCCCCCAGGGGGGATGGCCATGCTGTGATCCCTTCTCTTCCACTCTCCTCTCAGGATCTTGGGCACGCACGCACATGCACCCAGTGTGAGTTTTAGCCACCGGGTCCGGGACTCGAACTTGGTTGACTACATGGGAGTCCAGCAATATAAGACCCACGAGGACAGTAACTGTGGCACTTCAGAGCAGTACTCCCAGGGCAGGGCCGCCGGACGCCCGGCCTCGGTCCTGCAGGTGGGCCACACAGGCCGGACTGTGCAGTGGCAAGAGCGGGCCCGTTACCTGACTGTGCAATGGCGGTGAGTTGAGTCCTCTCCAGCGGGGGAGCCCACCTGACCCAGGCGGCAAACTGGCCTGTGAACACCATGACCTGCGGGGAGGGGCCATTGCCGAGCAAACGCGGTCATTCCGAACCCACCTTCCACCTCTGCTGGGACGTCTTGGTACCTTGGCTACACCTTGGAAAAGCCGCAGGACGATGAGGAAGGCCTCTCCGGCATCGGACGCCCATGGAATGAGGAGGCTCAGGACGGAGGAGATAACCAAGCCAGCGCCCACCACGTACTTGGTTCCGAAGACCCCAGCCACGTAGCCAGCCGGGATGGGGGCCAAGAACGAGGCGTAGGAGGAGGAGCTGAGGATGACCCCCTGGACGTCGGGGCCCCAGTCGTACACGGGGTCCTAGACAGCAGAGAGAGCCCCGCCGTTTGTCGCTCGGGGACCCAGACAGCAGACAGAGCCCCGCCGGTTGTCTCTGGTTAAAGAGTTGAGTTTTGTTTTGTTTTATTTTGTTTTGAGAGATTTCGGTATAGGGTATATGCACTCACCAGAAAGACAGGGAGAGACAGAGAGACAGAAAGTGAGAAATCACCCCCCAGGGGGGATGGCCATGCTGTGATCCCTTCTCTTCCACTCTCCTCTCAGGATCTTGGGCACGCACGCACATGCACCCAGTGTGAGTTTTAGCCACCGGGTCCGGGACTCGAACTTGGTTGACTACATGGGAGTCCAGCAATATAACCATTATGCCATCTGCTGGTCCCAAGGGTTGAGTTTTTATTGTGAGGACTTGAGAGGATAAAATACTTGGTATTTCTCTTTTCTTTTATGGCTCTCCCATTCCTCCAACCTACCAATCTCACCACCACCCCACACAAACCCCTAAATACACACTCGGTGCACTGCTTCCCCTCATCCTGGTACAACCGGCCTCCAACTAAAATAGAGCCTGTGGGAGAGGGACTCCCGTGGGTAAGAGAGCACCATAAGCAAATTTAAACCCTCCTAGCCACACGACACATGCATTAGCGTGTAGCTGCCCGTCTCCTGCCTCAGACACAAACGCTCGCTATGCACATGCGTGGCCTGTGTATGAAGGTCCGTGCTGAGTCTGTAGTTCTGGGAGGAGTCCGTGTCCACGAGGCGGTAAGCTGTTCCCTTCCAGCTACTTAGCACCCGGACACAGACACTGAGCATCGGAAACAGGCTGTGTTCTGGGCCTGTCCCCGGCACACAGTAGGTGCGATAACTACTTCCTGGGTCAATCACGCCCTTCATAAGGCTCCCTTCACGTCAAACCACTGAGTGGCGGAGTGAGCCGAGGGCCCCCGTGCTCACCCTTCGGGGGTGAACTCACCCAGGGTGGGTCCTGGGAGCCAGCGGAGGCGTTGGGCCCACTGGGCGAGGCCGTGTGGTTCACCATTGCCGGGATGGCGATGCTTAAGCTCATGTCCTGGGTGAATATCACGCAGTTGCAGAGACACAAGAGGCCGGCCAGCCAGTAGCGGACTGCGCAAAAGCCTGAGGGAGAGAGCGCTGTCAGCCAGGCCGCCCTCCCACGCTCCCCCTCCGGCAGGGAGGACAGGCTCTCCGCACTGCAGAGACCCAGGGTGTAGACAGCGCTCTGCACACGGCCCCTCCACGGCGCTGCTCCTGAGACCAAGCAGAAGGCGTGCAGGCAGCGTGCCTCAGGGAGATGGACCCCAGCTCCCTTCCCCTCTCCACAGCTCGGCCCACCCGGCTGCCCCATGATGACTTCTCCCTGCATTTGTGAGTGGTGCTGGGTGGGGCTCATGTGCCTTTTTAAAAGAGATTATTGCCGTAGGGCACATGTGCTCACTGAACAGGAAGTGAGACAGAGACAGAGACAGAGGGAAAGTGAGGAACCACCCCCCACCCGAGGGGAGGGTCACACCGCAATCATTTCTCCTCCATTTCCTCCCAGGATCTTGGGCACGCATGCACACGTGCTCAGCATGATTTTCAAGCCACTGTGTCTGGGACTCGAACCATGGTCCTGCATGTGGGAGTCCAGCAATGTAAGCACTAAACCATCTGCATCTGACTCTTGTGAGTGACACTTTCCTTGGTGCTGCTTGTTCCATTTGAATTCCAACGTGACCTTGTTCTCCTGTTCTGTTTTCTTCCTCATCTGCACTGGGGTCTTCTTTCAGTATGTTCCTACTGCCTTCCTCCACACCCTCAGCTCCCTGCCACACCCCCGGGTCCCTCCATGCACGTGAACCTAATAATAATAATTCATTATTACTGAGATCTTGGATGACGTGGTGATGGACGCATTCCGCCATTTCCCCGACACGAAACCGCACAGCCGTGTGCTGTCATAACTGACTGTCAGACGCCAGGTTAAAACCCAGGTGCCTTGTCTCGGTGCCAGAGGACTTAGAGCCGTCACTCAGCCCCTCTGTGCCCAAGCACGGCTGCTGTGGTCCCTCACTGAGGGGTGACTGTCAAGTCCCAGATCCATACCGGGAGGGGCTGAGAACAGGGCCCATGGGTGGCACGCCCCGTCGGTGGGCTGCCGTCCGGCCGTGCTATGACCCACACCCAGTCCTGTCCTCTGTGCTAACCTGCAGTCTACCCCTCACCTGGGACCCAGGTGGCATGCCTTATTTTCTGCAAGGGGGCCCTGCACAGCCACCTCGGAGGGGTGATGGCATGCATGCCACACGGCAGGTGGCAGTGGCAGGAGGAGCCATTGGGAATTCTCACCAACTGCTCTCCCACGCAGCTCCCAGCACTGCAGACCCGGGAAGCCCCCACTCCCAGCAACCTCTGCAGTCACTGTGGGCCCCGTGTAGCCGGCCGGCTGGACTTGCAGACCTTTAGACAGGCAGGGAAGGGAGGAGAACCAGGAGGCTGTGGGCCCCAGCGAGCATGGAGGCTCACAGAGAGGGACCCAGCAGGGAGAGCCACAAAGAACCAGCCATGCTCTGCCCTGCGCGGGGTCTGTCTCTGCCACTTTCGGAGGCTCTAAGGCCCCCAGGGCTGGTGCGAGTCCAAACAGACCTTTTTTGTTTGTTTGTCTGTTTGTCTGTTTGTAACAGTGCTGTGCTTGCTGCAGAGAGAGTGAAGAGAGGTGAGAAATCACACCCCCCAGGGCATGACCACGCCACAGTCCCTTCTCCAGTCTCAGGATTCTGGGCACACTCACACCTGCCGCGAGTGATTTTCAAGCTGCTGGGTCTAGCACTCAGACTGTGGTCAGCCATGTGGGATCCAGCTCCTTAACCACACGCCACCTGCTCACCTTAAACCTCCATTTTCTTTCTTTTTGTGGGGGGAGGGTTGGGGTTTTTTTGGGTTTTTTTGTTTTTGTTTTTGTTTTTGTTTTTGTTTTTGTTTTTTGCTATAGGGCGCATGTGCTTGCCAGAAAGTCAGAAAGAGAGAGAGAGAGAGAAAGCGAGAAATCACCCCCCAGGGTGGATGGCCGCCCGGCAATCCCTTCTCCATTCTCCTCTTGGGATCTTGGGCACGCATGCACATGCACCCGCCGTGAGTTTAAGCCACCGGGTCCGGGACGCGAACATGGGAGTCCAGCGACATAGCCATTGCGCCAACTGCTGGTCCCCTGAACCCCTCTTTTCTGAAATCCGCCCAGTCTCGGGTATCTGTGAGCAGTGCAGTAACAGGCAGCCCCCTCCCAGCATGGAATAGAGAAGGCCCTGGGTCACGGTGCAGAGATCAGAGAAGAGGAGACTTTCTGTGTTTTTTTTTTTTTTGAGTTTTGCTATGGGGTGCATGTTCTCACTAGAGAGAGAGAGAACGAGTGAGCAGGAGAGAAAGATCACCCCACAGGGGACAGCCACACCGCAGTCCCTTCTCCAGCTGTCCTCTCAGGATTCTGGGCACACACACACACGCACACACACACACACGCACACACACACACGCACACACACACACACCTGGTATGTCTTTCAAACCACTGGGTCTGGGACTTAACCCCCTCAGTCGGCCAGGTGGGACCCAGGACCGGCACTGCCACGCCACCTGCTGGCCGAACGATGACGTCTGCGAGTGGCAGAGGGGAGGGTGGAGGGGTAACGTGGGCAGAGCTGTGTCCCGGACTCCAGACCCGACCAGCCTGCTCCTTTCTGAATTCCTAGAATCCACACTGGGTTCTCTGATCTCTGCTAATCACGCTAACTGCCGCCCTGCGTGCCTCCAGGGCTCTCGTGAGAAACGGGGTCGCTGTCGGTGAAGAAGCTGGTGGCCTCAGAGTCCCCGCAGCTGGCGTGGCGAGCTCACTGCAAGGGGACAGAGGAAAGCGGGCCACGTGGACCTGGTTCTGCCCCCCAGAACCTTGTGAAGGAGCTTACCTTTCCTGGGGGACCCCTCCAGAGCCAAGTCCAAGTTGCCATCTTGGGCAATGTTGCCGCCTTGCCCGTGGACAGCTGTTCCCGTGGACATCCAGGCTCTTCCTTCAGGCACTGGCACAGACCTGGGGACGGAAGAACGCCGCGCAGGGGGAGAAGCGCTCTGTCCCCAGGGACTTTGTCCCTCTCCTCTGAAAGTCAGGAGGAAATGATGGAAGGTGCGAAAGCAGGGTTCTGGGAACCCCAGGTGTCAGCTGGTCTATGATTAACCAGTGCGTCCGAGCCAGGCCCTGCAACCCCGGCCTTAGCGCCCGCCCTCTGACACCAGAGCCCTGGCCTGCATCCTCTAGGCAAGCTGCTTTGCAGTCCTGTGCTTCCCT